TAAAAGCACTTACATTCCACCAATCCACTGACCAACCCAAATGTCTATAGATTTTGTTTTTTAAATGAGAATTCTGAAACAAAATCCATAACTTTAAACAGATGTGGACTCCAATGCTCGTCCAGAATAAAGACACTCTACACAGATTAATTTTTTTCTTTTCATATGTTAAACATTTCAGTTTAGTAAATTAGTCTCTGCTGTTTTAATTTAAATTTGCTTTTATTACCCCATTCTATGTTTACTACACCAATCACCTGACCGGTCTATTTCAGAATTTCTCTACTCATCACATCCTGAAATCAGAATTTATACCAAAGTTAAAAAAATTCTTAAAAATGTTTGTTCCATGTTTTATTAGGTTTACACTAAATGTTGTTGTTAAGTGCTATCAAGTCAGTTTCGATTCATAGAGACCTGTCTAAGGTTTCCAAGGAGCAGGTTGGTGGGTTTGAATTGCCAACCTTGTTTAGCAGTTCAATGCTTATCCTACAGCACCACATCAGGGTTCCTTACAAAATAATGTGACATACCATATGGCCAAACACAGGTAATTGAGACTATCCATTACCAATCCACTAATGCTAAAAGCTGGAGTGCTCAGACAGTAAGAATTTAATCCAATTTACAGACCAACAGGAGCCAAATCTTTTGGGCAGAGAAAAACAACCCAATGAAAAGACTATAATAAATGCCAATACTACACTTCGGAAATAAAATTGATGTTATTCATTAAAATAAGTATCAGTTGAAGCCAGCCGATGTTAAGATAATTCTACAGGCACCCTGAAGACCATGTCCGTCCCTCTCAAAGCTATATTTAGAACTATAACTTTTCCAAGCAAAACAATGGAAAATAGACATGAAAATTTTTAGAAGTCAATGAAAACGAAACAGAACAAAGCTTTGATTCTTCTAGGTGAATCTTGTACACCACCTCCTTTGACAAATAGGTGAACTCATAGTCAGTACATTCTCAACTGATCAATGTAAACTAACTAGACCACCTACACAAGAGAAGGTTAACTTTGAAATAAAATTCATTAGCACGCACAGATTTGAAAAGAGGTTTTACTCAAATAAAAACAACCATATTATTCTGCAACCAGAGATTAAAACTAAATCTGAAAAATTTACTTCAACTCAAAAAAAGAAACAAATATTTCAGGATATTAAATACAGGAAAATCTGTTTTAAATGATCATGGTGTGGTGCTGCAGGATAATGCTCTGGACTGCAAAACCAGTCTGAATCGTAAGGTCAGCTGTTCAAATCTACCAGCCCCTCCTTGGAAACCCTAGAGAGGGTCACTATGAGTCAGAACTGACTCCATAGCAATTATCAACAACAACAAAGGGCATTTTACTTAGTACTTGATTGAAGAGATAAAGCATACCTGTAGTAAACCTCAAGTTATTACAAAAGAGGAATAATTTTTTTTGTCTAATAGGATTGTTCATATATAAGTGTCATTTCTGAATAAAAAGTGCATAGTCAAAAACCTCTTAAAATGAACCCTCTTGAGCCCCTCCAGCAGCAGATTAAGACGTAGTCCTAATTGCTGGGCCTCAAAGGCTCAGACTAAATGGGCACGGACAAAACTCAGCAAGGGAAACTGTTCCTGACAGACATAATTCAACTTAACTTTGCTTTTCCAAACTCACCTTCTAAGAGAAACTGATATAAAACACTCTTGGACCAGAAGCAAACACTCAAGGAGCAGTGGGGATGGCAGAATTCGCAGGCAGTCCAGCCTTACCCAGAGCTGGCAGGAAACCCCCACCCTCATCCCAGGCTCCAGACAGGATCCTGCTCTGGGCTGTCCAGTAACTACTTTATTTCTGGGCGGCTCTCACTGTTTGAAAGTCTGGCCTTAGGTAAATCACGTCGCGATTTCTGCCTTAAGGAGGTTCTCTAACCTGTTTCCATATTGGTGGCACCAGTTCCCCAGTCACACATTGATCCAGTCTTTAGTAAGGAAAGAAAAAAGGAACTGCCTTTATACTTTCTTTTTGCAACCAATACCTTTCGGAACAAGAGCTCTGGTAGCGTAGTGGTTTCCAGTCAGGCTGCCAACCGCAAGGTTAGCAGTTGGAAACTACCAGTGGGTTCCTCGGGAGAAAGATGAGGCGTTCTGCTCCCGTAAAGATTTACAGCCTTGGAAACCCTGTGTAGGGTCACTATGAGTCAGACTCCATGGTACTTAACCACCACCACCACCTTTCGGAAGAATCCCGCAGAGACGTAATAGGATACAAACTAAAACCTTACATTCAAATAAGAAGTCCCCCCCGACCCCCCCAAAAAAAAACCTGCAGCCCCAAATTTAAAAATTAAGAACTCATTAAAGAAAACTGGGTAACAATGATCTAAAGACTCTAGTCAATACCTAGAGTTGAATGTTAAGTGCCATCGAGTAGGCTCCAACTCAGACAGACCCTGCACAGGGTTTTCAAGGAGCAGATGGGTTTGAACCGAATGGATCTACTAGAAAACATCTTTTCCATTTATCAGTTAATCGTGTAAAGTAATTACATATTTTATTAGTTAATAATCAACCCCAAAAACTACTTAATCACCAAATATTACTTGAGATTACTGTTATCAGATAGATAACAAAATGAAAGCACTTAAGAATCAATGATCAACAGTCCCTGACCCAAAAATACCTGTTCAGATTTTTACATTGTGTATGCATTATTAGCGTAGTGGTTACGAATGGGGCTGCTAACCTCAGGGTCAGCAGTTCGAAACTACCAGCTGTTCCGCGGGAGAAAGATGAGGCTTTCTGCTCCTGTAAAGATTTACAGCCTTGGAAACCCTTTACCGGGTCTCTATGAGTCGGAACCCACTCCACCGCACATAACAACAACAAATGCATTAGCTTAGTAATGCACTGCACTCTTTGACTGGAAAACGTCTGCCAACGCCCCTTCCTCAAATAAAAATTCTTAAATCGTTTTTCCTTCAGTACAACATGAATCTCATAAACCGAACTTAAAAAACCTTCCACAAAGATTAATGAAACAAAGCTGATACCAGTTCTGTATGGTAGTCTTGCCATTTAAAGACAAGAAAAATCATCTAAGTTCGTTTTGAATCAGCTATTATTAAGAAGGAGGTTTTTTAAAGTCTCCAGCTTTGGCCACCACCCTGTGACATTTCAGCTCAACTCTCCGTCCCCACCCCCCACTAAGCTTCTATCTGAAAAGCTGCCCATGGCAGGACACCCTACACGTTGTGTGATTTCCCCCTCCCCATTTTGGTCTTTTAAAGTAATGTCAAAGGAATCTCGCAGCAAAATGCACACCAATCAAAAGCGTGCGATTCGGCCGGCTGCGCCTAGTGAAGATGGCCAGCCGCCGCCGCCTGGAACGCCATCTTGTTGCAGTGGGGCCTGGAGACAGAGGCCCATTCATTCGCGGCGGGGACAGAGCCCGCACGCCCCGCCGCGCGCCCACAGCCGCCCCGCACCTGACCGTTCGCCCGCCTGGGACAGTCAGCCCGGGGCTCCGTACTGGGCGCAGCGGCTACGGACCAAGAGCCACGGGTGGCAGGGGGCCCGCCCTCCCTCCACTTTGGGGGTAAAAATTAAATCCTCCAGCTGAGCGAGCACTTCATGTTTGGAGCTTTTTTCCCCTCCCACATTTGCCCAGCACGGCCCTTTGTCTCGGTGCCGGTCCCCGACTCGCCTCGGCCGGGTGGCCGTGATGGGGCCGCAGCTTCCTCATTTCATTGTTCCTCCCGCCCTGCGTGTGAATTCCTTCTTAAACTGAATCGGACAGCCATCCGCCGCGAGGCACATTAAAAATAACACTTACACGGGAGTACAGGCTGCTAGGACCCCGGCGGCTCTCACCACCAGCAGGAGCACCCAGACCAACCAGGGAGGAAATTTAATGAAAACAGCGCCTATTCCGGGAAGCAGCGGCGCAGCTGCCGGCCCAGCCCCGGGCCTCCCGGCGGCCCTTTGTTCTCGCCGCGCCGGCCGGGCAGGGCGGGGACTTCGACGCGGGGTGGGCGCGGCCCCCACAGCAGGATGCAAGGAGCTGCGTTCACCGCAGCGCTGTCCGACCCCGACCCTGCGGACACCCCTCGCAGCCCCAGTCTCCCTGAGTCCACATTTTCCCGTTAGCAGTGCCCGGAAAAAACAAAGCCGTCAGCTCGGCGGAGACGGCTCCACGGAGCCTGGGCCCATGCCCCCGCGGCCTCCGTGGGACCTCGGCCCGCGCCCAGCGGCCAGCCAAAGCGGGGCAGGAAGCCGCGCAGTCCCTCCCGGCCAGGGTGGGGGCGGGGCGGGCCGCGACCCCCGGGGATCCGCAGAGTAGGGGAGGGCACTGCGCGGACGGCCTGAGCTGAGGTCGCAGAGCAGGGTTTTGGGGATCGGGGGAGGGAGGGTCTGGGCGCGCTTACCTCGGCGCCCGCTCCGGCAGACGCGCCTACAGCCGGCCGCCGCCTCAGCCGCCGCGCCGCGAGGTTGTCGCGCTCCGCACCGCCACTGCGCGCTCGGCGGGCTGCGGGCAGGTGCGCGCCGCGAGGCTTGGTCGGTCCTGCGCGGCAGCTGCTCCACTCCGGCGCCACTGCTACTCCTCCCAGCTCCCGCCGCCGCCGCCGCCTCCGTCTCTGTCCGCCCCTCAGACGCCTCCAGCCATCGGGATGGGCGCGGCGGCCCCTGTCTGCAGCCTCGGGAAACCCCACGCTCGCGTCACCGCGCACGCACAGCCTACCAGGGGGACGGGCGCGCGTCCGCGCTTCCTGCCCAGAGCCGGCTCCGCCGCGCGCCCGTGCTACTTAAAGGCGCCGCGCCCTCAACCCTGCAGAGACCCGCCACGCCTCGCATAGCCAACCTCGCTTCCCCGCGTGGCCAACCCCGCGCTTGGCGTTCGACCGTCAGCGGTCTATCCTGGTGGTCTGCAGTGCCTAGTCACATATAGTCCCAAGTATGGGGCGTGGCCCAGGGCAATGCTGAACAGGGTCTAGTTTTCACTAAGGCAGTGACAATGACCGCGTGGAACCTGCGTCGCCGTGCCATACGCGCCTTTCGCGTATGAAAGAACAGGGTGGCTGTAGCCCACCAAGTCGGCTGTGGAAGTCTCCATGCCTTCTGACCGTTTCAGTGCAGGAGAGACAACAGTGATGAATCCTGCTGATTTTCCTTTAATTCTGGCAGTTGGATGGAGATTTCTGGCCTATGCTGTTAAGTGTCATCGAGTCGGTTCCAGCTCATAACGACCCTGTTTAGGATTTCCGAAGAGCGGCTGGTGAGCTTGAACCACCAACCTTGTGGTTCAAACCTACCTTGCAGTCCAGTGCATTAATCCACAGGGTCAGCTGCTGTTGTTGGCGAAGTGCCGTTAAGTCGATTCCAACTCATAGCGACCCTGTATGGGCTTTCCAAGGAGTGTCTGTTGAGTTTGAATCTCCAGGACTCCTAGATATGGGTAAACCAGAGGCTGGAGCTGACAGTGATCTGAACAGTACGGAGAACTGGACAGAGTCCAATGGATGGGACTCAGGGTGGAAGGGGTGTGAAGGGGTACCTGGTTTCTGTCTGATTGGATGGAAGATGGTCCCGAGTGGACCAAGCTGGGAGAAAGAACATGAGGCCTCTGAGGTTCACCAGGCCACTGGAGCCACTGGGCCTGAGTGAACTGGCCTAGAGAATGAGGAGTGCGATGGCCCTGACCCTGGGGCAGGGCAGACCCAGCAGAGGTGTGTCAGGTTGGAGAAAGGGCCAGTCACCTGAAAGTGCTGAGAAGTTAGCTGAAACTCTCCCATAGGAAAGGGAATGACCGTTCATTCCCGCCTGTCTTTCCTGAAGACTTCTGCTCCCTAAGTCCAACAACTACCCCACCCTGTTGACCTCCCAAGGTACTTGCTTTGAAACACCTCATTCCGTCTACTTTGGTCCTCTCCACCACTCCCCTGCTGCCTTCTCCAGACCAAATCTAGCATCCCTTACTGCTTTGGGCCTGTGGGGACCTTTGCCATTCTTCCTCTTTCCTACTGTCTAAGTGGCCTGTGGCTGCCCTAACAAGTGCCATAAACTGGAATAAGAAAGCCAGGCATTTTATTGTCTCACAGTTCTGCAGGCTGGGAGGCCAAACTCAGAGTGTTGGATGTATTGCCTCCTTCTGTGACTTTGAGGGAGAGAGACGCTGTTCCATGCCTCTGTCCTAAATTCTGGTGATGGCCAACGATCCTAGCTTCTCCTTGGCTTGTCACTGCATCACTCCAATCTCCATCTCACATGGCTGTTTTTGTTCTAGGCCTCTGTGTCTTTTCTATTATAAGGACTCTGTTCATGTAGGATTTGGATATATCCCACTCTGGAGTGATCTTAGGTCTTCAAAGATCCTATTTCCAAGCAAGGTCACATTTGCAGGTACAGTGGTTAGAACATCAACACATCTTTTGGGGGAACATGGTTCACCCATACCTTCGTCTTTCTCCACATCTTCTGGGTTTGGGGTTTGTGTGTGAGAGAAAATAGAAGCAATGAACAACAACTTTCTAATATGTCGACCACCTCAGCACCCCTTGGTCCAGTATGCTCCATGGCTGAGCCCCTGCTCCTACCCAAGGTAGTTATCCTCTCCCTTTTGGACCCCAGACCTTCCAGACCACCGGAGGGTTCTGCTGCCTCAGCCTCCTCTTCTACTCCACAAGGTGTTTCCTCCCTACTGAAGCACTCCTCAGCACACAAACATGGCCGCATCATCCTTGGTATCCTTCTTTGCTCTCCATACTGTCAGACACTCCAGACTCATCTCATATTTGCCCTGCCCCAGCCCTTGATTAACCACTTTTCCAAGGAGTCTGCTTCCTTTAGCAGAGAGTGGTGTTTAGAAGCCACAATGGAGTGCTCATTGCTACTGGGATGTCTCAGCATTTGACACACTCAGCATACAGAGCTAGGGAACCTATGTACACACACATCTGTTGTGTAGACATAGAATTATTTCTATACTTGTTTCTATATTTCTGGAATAACCCAAGTTCACATTGGCCTCTTCATTGTCAGTCTACTATTACAGGTTCAGGGGAGTTGTCTTCTATGCCCTATATGTAACTTTCTGCATTGGGAGGGAGGAACTGGCTTCAATAATTTTAATATGTTTCTTTATTACTCACTCCCTCCCCCCCCCACACACAGACACACGTAGCCAGTCTCCCAGCACTTCTGCCCCGTCCCCATTCCTATACCCTCCTTGCTTTACAAGGGTTCTGCTTTAGTCTCCCAGGGCTGCTGTAAACAAACTCTACAAAGGGGGTAACTCTTAAGAACAGAACTTTATTCTCACAGTTCTGGAGGCTGGAAGTCCAAATTCCAGATGTTGGTAGAGGAGCTATGATCTCTCAGTGACTTCAGGAAATGATCCTTCCTTGTCCCCACTCGTGGTATATAGACAGATCCTTGAATGCTGTCATACCCCTGTGTGTAGCATCGTCTTTCCATCTCTTCTCCTTTTATAAAACACCACTCCAAAGGGCTTAGGGTTAGGATCCACTCCTTTCTGTGTAAGGAGACCTGGTATCCTAGTGGGATACAAGTTGAGCTGCTAATCGAAGGGTCAAGAGTTGGGATCTACCAGCTGCTCCTCAGGAGAAAGATGAGACTTTCTGCTCCTATAAAGATTTACAGCCTTGGAAATCCTATACAGGGTCCCTGTAAGTCAAAATCGATTTCAGGGCCCACAAGCACTGCCGCCACAACTATTCTGTTTACTGATAATATCATCAAAGAAAGACAAACAGGTATATGTTAAAGTCGCAGGAGTTAAGATACAATCTAACCCATGAAAGGTCTGCCATAGTACCCCCAGGCTTAGCTGAGCCAGAGTTCAATTCAGCCACTCACCTCATTCTTTTTTTTTTTTTTTAATTAAATGTTTTTATTTTGGATTGAATAAAAGTTTACAGGGCACATCATCAGCTTCACATTCAACCATTCATATAGCTTGTTTCATTACATTGATTATTATCCCCTCCATATATCATCAGTTAACAGTGTTTCTCTCTATCCTCTTTAGCTTTTTTTTTTGGATGGGGGGGACTTGCCTTTTTGGAATTTACAGTCTCGGGTTTTAGGGAAGGTTTTTACATTTGTCTGTGGATATCCAGGGCTCATGTATGAGATTACTAACAAGCATTACTGAATAATCAGATGAGGGACAGTTTGCTATGTCTACTAGGTAGCTAAAGTCTGATCCTCAGAGCCTATGGTTTGGACGGTCAACAACCCTTGGGCCCACAAGGGGCTTGACCTCCTGACCGGGTCTGCACGGTCTGCATCAGATTCCTCCTTATTTATTGTTTGTTTAAGAGACGCTGCCTGTCTTAGGCCGTAAGTGCGAATTCCTCAGTCTTACCAGTCATTGAAACTTATTGCAGCATGGCAATGGCTCTGTCTTAAGTTGCCGAGGTTCCACGTGATCCTTACCCGTCTCTGGCCACACGTCCAGCATAAACAGCCGCCATCCGAGGAAGGCAGGGAGGGAGGAGATCGGCTGGGGACCCCATACGCAAGACGTTGCCAGCCCACCACCTGCTCTAAGGTGACCAAGCAGGATCACTATGCTGAGGTTCAATCAAGTTCTTAGGGGATCTTACTCTCTAGCAGGGGTAGCAAATTAGTAGCCACTCAGTGCTCACATTGAGAATTACTTATATCATAAATTTGAGCATGTAGCTGATGAATATCCACAGACAAGTGTATATTGTTCCACAACCTCCTGAAATGCTGTTGGATTAAGTTCCAATCAAGTTCTGGATTACTGAAAGATCACCTCATTCTTATACCTGAAATTTCCTTCGGTAGTTTCCCATCACCTTCCCTCTCCTCTCCTGAATCTTCCATCCCTCTCACTTGCCAAGAAACACACACATGAGTCCATCTTCATCTGCTTGGGGTTTCAATCTTCAGGTCTTTATTGTTCTCCCTGACCACCTGTTGGAGTGACCTGTGGCCTTATTCAGTTTATTCACCGACAGTTTGCTGCCTGCGCATCCCCTGTTCACACAGGGCTTTGGCCCCCTGGAACAGCATGAGTATGTTGTAGGTCGGTGGGGAGCAGGAGTGTGTGGAGGGATGCAGATGATGGCGACATTCTGATGTGGGGCACGACACCATCCAGCATGATGCCCGGAGGCCAGAGTGAGGAGCATGATGAAGTCACTACGGCCAGGATTCAAGGCAGCGGGCAGAGGAGCTTGAGCTCAGGGGGCCTGAGGAGCAGCAACCTTCTAGCAGGGCCTGGACATGACAGGAAGGAGGTGTGCATGCCCAGGGGATGGGGGACCTTCCTGGTCTCCACGAGTGGTATGTAGACAGATACCACTGTCTACATTCTGGTCCTAGTGGAAAGTGGACTGAATTCCAGGAAAGGTGGACTGAGGCCTCAGGCTCTAAGAGTCAAAACCATCCCTCAAGTCCAGCAGACCTGATGCAGGCCTTCTTCAATGCCCACCTGGACCAGGACTTAGAGAAAAGTGAATATGAGGAGAGGGTGAAAGAGGCAGGGCATAGGTGGGGAAGGTGGAGCAGGAGGAAAATGATGTGAGGAGATGAAGAGGAGGGAGATTAAGCAGGCGCAGCTGGGCAGAAGGAATTGGGCAATTGGCCCAGGGGGACAGGCAAGAGTTGTCCATGAAGGGGATGGCAGGAGGTCTGGGGGCCCTTGGAACCCCACCTCCCTGCCTGCCTGACCAGGACCAAGGCAGAGCCTTCAGAACTCCCTGTCTTTCATCACCATCAGTTTGATGAGGCTCATCTTCAGCTATAGCTGGGATGACAGGGCAAGGTCCCTGATGAAGACACCGAGGACACCCAGCCAGCAGACACACAGTCATCCAAGATTTTGGAGTGTAACCCCAGCACCTAGCTAATCTGTGGGTCAGCAGGGCAGGACGGGCCCTTTGTGGAACTTGCCCCATGCCCGGGTCAGAAATCTCATTTATGTGTTTATAGACAGGGTGTGAGGGGCAAAGTTGAGGAGAAGGAAGCAGGAACAGGGTACTCAGGTCCTCATTCCCAAACACCATCCCTCACTGATGCCCCCCTCCACAAGCTGAAAGGTCTGAAGAACTGCCCCTCGCCATACCCAAACCAGTCCCTGTGGGGTGGTGCCACCTGAGTGGTAAAGGCCCTCCGGCCTTGGAGACTCAGGAAGTCACAAGAGCTTCTAGTTACCAGAAGCAGCTACCTCTCAGAACAGATAAGAAGTCAGCCTTCCCCTTTGGACTTTGGAGGGTCTGAATGACAGGATCCTGCCCTCCCACCCTGCCCCACCCACCCTGCTGTCCAGCCCCCTCCAAAGCTCCCAGTCCCGCCCTGTGTGGGGGCTCAGAAATCAGGCTGTCACCTTGAATCCACAGCTACCTGGTCAACTGTGTGACAGCCCAGGGCCCAACCAGGCTCTACCCTGGGTGGCCCTAGTGACTGGCACCATGCGGTCCTTCACTAAAACCGTTGGAGCCCAGCCATTCTTGAATGTATAATTCAGATGCCTCCCTGCACTCCCCCAATCTGCTCTTCAGCAGGAAATGGCCTATCAGGAAAGTAGGTCTTTTTACAAATCTGAATTATTCAAACGGTCATGCACGTGACAAGGACCACAGCCATCCTTGCCGGATGTCCCCAGTGTATACTCCAGCCTGCTGTTAAGGCCTTAGCGCCACAGGGACACTTCCAGATCCCAATGGAAAGTGCAGGGCAGTGGCCACTGGCCACAGCGGGCAGCGGCACCCCTGGTTCTGGGGCCCAGCCTGCATGCAGGGCGCCCTCACAGCCTGCTGAGCCTGCTCTGGCTCTTCATTCACCCTTCGGGCCGCCCTCTGCTCCTTCACTAAGTGAGATGGAGCTTGACCTGCCTCTGCGTCCCAGAGGACAAAAGAGAATAAGGAGGGACAATGTGACTGCGCCCAGGGGATGCAGAATGTAGGTAATCAAGAGGAAAATGCTAATTAGTTCCTCAAGTCTCCAAAAACTGGCTCTATGGAAAAATGGGGTCACGTTCTGCATGGGGGGAGGGGGACAGTGATCATTCATCCTTCCTTGAGCTCTGGTGAGGTGCCTCATAGCCAGGCAGGTCCTGGTGAGGCCTCAAGGCCAAGTGCTTGGCCATGGAAGCGTGTCTGTTCTCATGGCAGTGGGGTTGAGGGGCAGGGGAGCACTTAGAGGAGGCATTGGATGTTGTTACCTGTCCTCCCTCACACCTGGGAAGAGCCCTGTGTCCCTCCCACTGGGACCATGGGGTTCCTTGGGGCAAAGGATGGTTCTTCCCTGATCCCTAAGCCCTAGGGGTTCATATCACCTCTTCCTGCCAAGCTTCTAAACCATGACCCTCTGCCACCACTTTTGGCTACAATATGCATGCTCCACATGAAAGCATCAAAACCATGGAAACGAGGGAATCAGAAAGTGTCTGGGAAGGCTGAAGAGAGACCACTTTCTCATCTGCATTTCCCAGGCAGGGGGATTTTTTTCTTCCCTGAGGTTCAGATCAGAAACCCCATGCTCCTTGACACCCCCAGGGCCCTCACCACGGTGGAGATCAGCCCCAGACATCTTGGCTTTGCAAGGTGGACACCCAACTCCAGTTCTTACTTTCAAGGACCATCGGCTGCATCCTTCCTGGATCCATGGGGCATGGGACCCTGACTTCCTCTCTGGGCTCCACGGACTCCTGGGACAGACCTGACACACTCCTGGCTCAGGGGCCACTGGTGAACCTCAACTAGGGGCTTCAACACCATCCATGGAGGGACATGCTATGATTGGGGAGAGCACCTGGATGCACAAACACAAAGGCCAGTTAGCCAGGAGTCAGGATAACAAGTGGCAGAAACTTCAACCAGCTTACTTGAACAGAGGGAATGATCAGGCTCAGTGAGTCTATGCATAGGTACCTGGGCTTCAGGCATAGCTGGATCCAGGGGTTTCACAAGGACACTGGGGTTTCCCCTTACCCTTAGGATGCTTGGCTCTGCTCTCTGGCTTAGTGCCTCATTCTTTCTACTAAAAGGGGTCTTGTCTGTCTGGGGTAAGTAGCACTGCAGACTCCCTTTCCCATGACAACAGCAGAGCAGCCCTATTCAGAAGACTATCAGAGGGCTGTACAGAGACCCTAGGAAGGTTCTGGAAGGCCTCACCTAGATCTATGTGACCTTGGGGACAGGGGGCAGAGCATCTCTGTCCGTGCTCGGTAACCCATTAGGACAATGTGGCAACACCTCCAGGGAACACAGAAGGAGGAGGAGGCGGCTGTGGATAGGCCACACAGAGGGGTCCCACCTACCTGTCTGCTAAAGACAGGATTGGGGCAGCACCTGAGCTATTATTAATAAACTCAGCCCCTGTTGACTGGGGGGGGGGAGGGGGGGGTTCAAGGCTGGCATCATGTTTGTTGTCTGGCAACCGTTGCTTGGGGTCAGCCTGGCCCAGGTGTGAGGAATCAGCCAAGAAGGGTCAGCCCTGAGTCAGCTCTGAGGCCTGTCCTGGTAGCCCTAGGAAAGGACATTTGAGAGAAACACAGGCCTCAGACTCTCCCTCCTGCTCCCTGAGGCCCTGTGAGGCCCCAGCATCTGCCCTCCCTCTTGCTCACTGGAGACCCTCTGTCCCAACAAGGCAGCCTGTGGGACTCCCTGGGCAACATCACTGCCACCGCCAGCTCATGCTCCCTGCACCACAGTCACTCCAAGGGGGCCAGCGCCCTTGCCATCCCCACCCCCCAGCCCCATTTCCTGCCGGACTAGGGCGGCTCCTTGGCAACCAGGCCACAATTGTTCTCTGCAGGCTCTTCCCCAGGGCGGGTCATTGCAGGCCGCTGGACTCGAGAGGCCTTAGCAATGCCCTGGGCATTCGTGGGCCAGGGCTGAGCATCCCTGAACTGACCGGGAGCTTGCTGCAGACTCACACACACTAGGGAGAAGATTGGCCAACTCTGATGAGGTGGGTGGGGTGTGAGGAGTGGGAAACAGGGACAATGCAAGAGGATGAGGGAGGACAGAGAGGGGAGGGGACACTGAGGGGGTAGAGGGGCTGGGGGGTGAGCTTTGGAAGGAACACAGAGGAAACAGTGACCCAGAGAAGGGGATGAGGGCAATGAGCCTGTGGTTCTGGCTGAGGGGATGGGGAGGGAGAGAGAAGATGGGGGTTGAAGGACTAAGAGGAGTCAAGGGAGGCCTCAGTGCCTGGAGAGGGGTGCCAGGTGAGGAGGAGGGACTAGAAGAAAGGCAGCTACCCTGGCCAGGCCTGAGAACCTTCTGGGCCTACTCAACCTCCCCTGAACAGACCTGGTCCAGCCCCTGTACCATGTGTCACCTGCAGACCCCGGTGCACTCACTGGGAGAGAGAGGACCCTGGAGGTGGAGAGGAGACACAACCCCAACATGGTGACCACCCTGGCTGTGCCCCTCTAGATTGCTGGGCCTCAGACCAGCATAGGATGACAGAGGTCTTCCAGGAAGCAGCCTTCGTGGCTAGTTCCCTAGCTTTGTCATCCTCTGAGATGGAGACAGTCCACACCTTCCTAGTGGAGACTGAGGGGGAGTAGGGGATGACTTGACCCAGGGACTAGGAGCTGTTGGACCAGTCCTTCCAGCTCCCCATGCCTCCCTGTCTAGGCCCTAACAGGAGAAGGGAGGTTCCAGGCTGTTCTGGGATTAATCTCACTGAGGATTGCGCCCTGGGACCATGCCTGTAACAACTCCAGGTAAACAACTCACACCTGTGGCACCAGCCGGCTGGAGGTGGGTGACCCCTGGGGTGCCTGCTGAGCACTGCAGGGACAGAGCCTTCCCAAGCCCCGTACCCCACAGGGAAAGAGGCAGCCCACAGAGCACCCAGAGCCCTAAGCCCTGATGCTAGAACTGCTTTTCCTCCCCCAGGAATCCAGGTGGAGATATCCTCAACCTGAAGGTGCTTCAGGGCCATTGTCAGCCAGTGGTGGACTCTGAAGAACCATCCTTGAGGGAGGAGGCCCACAGAAGTGTTCTCGGTCAGGTGACAACAATATGGGAGGGAGCTGGGGTCCTCAAGCCGGCCAGGCCAGACCCACTCCTCCCACTCCAGACCAACCCGATGCCATGTTACGTCCCTTCACACCCCTTACACCACCCTATACCATGTCACCACATTACATCACCAACGGCTGACATCAGTGGTATACCCTGACCCTGGGATGCCTTCTGGGTCTGCGTCTGGTGACCATCCAAATCGTAACTTGGGGCTCTTGGTCTCTGCTTAGACTATCCTTTCCAACAGAAAGATCTAACTGGACTGACACCCCCTTATGTGAAGAAATCTTTCGCTCAGCCTCATCTTGCCCAGGGGCCTATGACCCAAATACCAAAACCCCTAACACACTCACCTCCAGCCCCCAGCTCAGTCCAGGGCACAGAGGGCTCAGCAAGGAACTTCCTTCCCAGAACTGCCATATTCTGTACCTGGAGAGGACTCCTAAGTGCTCCCAGTGACCCCAGTTTCCTTTCATAGGGTTCTACTCCACCATCTACAGTTTTTAGTGTGCTAAAATTCATACAGCATAAAATATACCATTCAAGTGCATAATTATTTAAGGGTACAATGCAGTGGCATTTAGCACCTCCACAAAGTTGTGCAACCACCACCTCTTAACTGGTCCCAGAACATGTTCATCCCCTGAGAAGAAAACTCTGTGCCCATTAGCAGTCTGTCCCTGTCTCCTCACCGTCCCCAGCCCCTGGCAACCACTAATCAGCTTTCTGTCTCAATGCATTTGCCTAGTCTGGATGTTTAATATGAATGGAATCATATAATATGTTGCCTTTTGTGTCTAACTTATTCATTCATGATGTCTTCAAGGTTTATCCATGTCATAGTATACATCAGGACTTCATTTCTCTTTATGGCTGAGTTAATAGTACATGGTATGGGTGGACCACATTGTGTTTATCTATTCATCTGTTGAGGGACATCTGAGCTGTTTCTACTTTTTGGTTATTGTGAACACTGCTGCAGCAAACACTAGTGTATATGTGTTTGTTTGATTCCCTGCTTTCAAGACCCTTGGGTATATACTTAGGAGAGGAATTACTCGACCATATGGTACTCCTATGTTTAACTTTTCAAGGAATCACCTAACTGTATACCACATTAGCACCACCATTGTATGTTCCCACTAACAATGGAGGAGAATTCCAATTTCTCATCCCCTTCACCACTTTTTAGTCTTACTTTTAAAAACCTATAACAATAACCATAAATATACATATATAGACTTCACAGGGGATTTTTGTACATGAGTGTTTAAGTTTGCTGCAAAAATAGTCATGAATGTGGTGGAGCATACAGGGGGCAAAGTTTAGCCATAACCAAACACCCTGAGGGAATGGGGCACTGGGAACACCAAGTCCACATAATGGTCCACAGTGACTGTGTTCTACATCCTACTTTGGTGAGGAGTGACTGAGGCCTTAAAGGCTCATGAGTGGCAATCTAAGGTGCAACTATTGGTTTCTCCCTTTCAGGAAGAAAGAAGAAAATCAAAGACATGTGGAACCTATTCGTCCAGTGGACTAATGAAACATGAGAACAGGTTACCACTATCAAATGCTCTGAAAGGGATCATATTAGAAAGTTCTAGATAGAGTGGGAGAAAATGTGGAACAAAATTCAAAATCATAAAAAAGACCAGGGAAAGGACTTCTGGCAAGATGGTGAACTAGGAAAGTGCCCTACACGGACCCTCTACAACAAAGATACGAGAGACTAAATGAAACAGACACAGATGAACATCAGAGGAAAGGTTAGAGAAGTGGATTGAGGATTTGCTGAGAGGCAAAGCTGAGCAGGGACAGCAAGAAATGGAGACTGACTGGTGAATGGCCTGTCTTGAAATTTGTGAATAACTTTGGCAACAGAAGGTGGTCTGACAGAGCAGATTCACACAGGCATTGGGAAAAGTGTAATTCCTCTCCATGTCCCCCTGTTGACCAGAGGTGTGGCCAGCTCCCAACTTTATCCACCTCCAGCATAAAACCTGCTCTCTGGGAGTTCAGAACCACATGGTTGGGACCCATGTCAGTGTGAGGCAGGGGTCAGTTGTGTAGCTTTAGTGTTTGGATTCAGGTAGGTGAGGCTCCAGACCTGTAGAACCCTCAGAGCCACCAGACCAGCATTGTTGTGGTTGTTGTTAAGTGCCGTCTGTTGTTGTTGTTGTTATGTGCCATGGAGTCGGTTCTGACTCATAGCGACCCTGCACAGGGTTTCCAAGGCTGTTAATCTTTACGGGAGCAGAACGCCTCATCTTTCTCCCGCAGAGCAGCTGGTAGTTTCGAACTGCTGACCTTGCGGTTCGCAGCCCGATTCGTAACCACTATGCTACCAGAGCTCCTTTAAATGCCGTCTAGTCAGGTCCAACTCACAGCCACCTGTATAGGGTTTCCAAGGAGTGGCTGGAGAGTACCTCTGATTTTGCAGTTCAAACCAACTTTGTGGTCCAGTGCTTACTTATCCTATGGCTCCACACCAGGACTCCAAGACCAGCATTAGTCTAGCAGAGTCATAAGAGTAACCCTGCTCCCAGTGGCACAATGGTCCTAAGAGACACTGAAACCAGCTCCATCCAGGGCTTCCATGAACTACTTTGGAGTGAGTGCCCTGAACACAGATAACACCTAGGTCTATAGGAACTCCATCTAGGGCCAGGAACCCCACTGGTACATTCCCTCTCCCCCTCCCCCCACCATGGGAGCTCCTTGGCTGGGAGGAGCCCTGGAATTTTATCCTCTCCAGGTTCAACTGGTTTTTTAAAATTTTGGTTTTGGTTTTTCCCTTTTGTTGGTTCATTATTTGTGTTTGTTTGAGCTCTGTTGGCGTAGTGGTTACGAATCGGGCTGCGAACCTTAAGGTCAGCGGTTCAAAACTACCAGCCGCTCCGCGGGAGAAAGATGAGGTTTTCTACTCCCGTAAAGATTTACACCCTCAGAAAACCTGTACAGGGTTGCTATGGGTCGGAACCGACTCGACGGCACTTAACAACAACAACAACATTCTTTCTTCTTCAACTTCTCTTTCATTCCCTTGAATTTTATCTTTTCTATCTCTGCTTTTGTTTTTCTTTCTTTCTTTTCCCCCTTCTTTATTTTCTTTTTGCTCTGTCTTTACTGATCTCTTCTCTTGCTTTTCTTCTTCCCTCTTCTTGGTTTATCTAAGTGCTTTTTTTTCTCTCACTCCCTCTTATTTTTCTCTTCTATAGCTCCATTTTTCCTGTCCCTCTTTTCTCTTTTTAATTATTATGTTATTTTTTCTGGTTGCTGCCTGGTTTTATTTCTTTTTTTTCCCTTTATTATTTTCTCTTTTTTATTGTTGTTTGTTTATTCTGTTTTGTTTTCTTATGTGTGTGAGTTTCTTCTCTTTACCACCGAAAAGGAGACAACAATTGTGCTCATACAGCTTAGCCACAACTATACACACTGCAGCTCCACCCACTGGGCAAGAGCCAACACCAGCTTCTATACCACCTGATCAATGATAGCTAGAAGCCAACCCCAAGCATACCCACCCTAAACTGAGGTGCACAGAGAGCAGAGAATGGTGCACACATTTCCATTCTCTAACTATACCCATAGGAAAAGTTGGTTATGGCCCAACAACACATCAACATACAATCATCAATTAAATACAAATATGACAACATCACAATGCTGTGGGGACAACAGACAATTTTAGCTCACATAAAGAAATAAGAGAGAATGGCACAAACACATGACCAAGATGCACAGGCAGAAAACATTTCTGAGAAAGAAAAGATAATGGGACTAATTGAAAAAGAATCCAAAAGTATATTTAGGTACTTTCAAAGGATTGACAAATGACTGAGAGGAAAGCAAGAAGAACACAGAGAAAACGTTACAAGAATTCAGGAAAACACTGTAAGAAGAAATGGACAAAATAAATAAAAAATTTGAAACAATACAAAACATGAAATTAAAAATCCAGAAGATGAATACTAAGATTTCAGAAATAGACAATACATTGAAATGGCAAATGAGTAGATTTGAAACAATGGATGCCTGAACTAGTGAGCTTGAAGATAAATCTCTTAATACTAGTATGCTAGAAGAACAATCAGAACAAAGAATGAAAAATCCAAAGAAAGCCTGAATTATGTGGGATGCCATGAAGAGGAATAACTTATGGGTGATCAGAATTCCAGAATAGGAAGAGACAATACAAAGCACAGAGAAAATTGTCAAAAAGTTGTTGAAAGAAAACTTTCTTAACATTATGAAAGATGAAAATATAAACGTACAAGAAGCTGAATGAACCCCAACCAGGATAGATTCCCCACAGGAAATCATCCAGACATATCACAATCAAACTTTTCAAAACTAAAGACAAGGAAAGAATCCTGAGAGCAGCTTGGGAAAAATGATAAGTTATTACAAAGGAGAACCAAAGAAACTAAGTTCTGATTTCTCAGCAGAAACCATGCAGGTAAGAAGGCAACAACGTGAGATTAACATACATGACAACACCACCTAGAACTCAATCTAGATATACAAGTATTTAAAGACAAATGAACTTGCAAGACTGAAAATAGAGAACCAGAGATATCAATTTATAAAGAAAACAACTACAAAGCCAAAAGAGGGAAGAGTGGCAAGGAAGTCAAATAGATTTCAAGATACAACAGACTGTTTTAAATAAGGGGAAAAATAATAAATTACAGGGTAACCTTTAAAATAAATCAATAAAATAAAAAAAATGCACCTTCACATCAAAATAAAAGAGAGGAAAATAAGAAAGGTTTAATAAATATTAACACAACACAAATGAAAATGAAAAAAAAAAAAAAAAAAAAAAAAAAACACACCTCACAAACAGTATGAATTCAGCACAGGAAATTATGTGGTACAAAGAAACCAGCAACACCACTACAACACAGAAAAATAACAGCAAACAATTCAAAATTATTGATAATGACATGAATGTAAATGGATTAAAAGCACCAGTCAAGA